AAGAGACAGAGAATACGATTTAGTTGGGAAAGAGAAGAAGGTCTGATGCTGACATACAAAGAACAAAGATTCTGGATCAAAAGTGAGGAAAGAGCAAAAGAATTTCTAAATAGATTAATGTTGGATAAAGAGAGAGAGAAAGGGGAACATACAAAAGGAGGAACGAAGAAGAAGAAACGCACAGACTCTTTAGAGGAAGAAGAAACTGAAAAAGAGGAGATGAGGAGATTCTCAGAAGAAGGCGCAGGAATACCAAACTTAAGTGACCCAGAGGAGGAGGAAGAAAGTGAAGAAGAGGAACTAAGTGAGGGAGAGGAAATAGAAGAAGGACAGGCAGAGGTAGAAGAGAGAGAACTGATAACAAGGGAAGAAGAGAAGGAAGAAGAGAAGGAAAAAGAAATATGTTGAAGAACCTAAGAATCTACTCGAATAACGTGAATGAGATGAACTCTCCTAATAAAAGAAATAAAATATTTAATGGATTAAAGAAAAAGAGTTATCAGATTATTGCGTTGCAGGAAACACACATAATGAGTAGACATACCAAACATTTAGAAAATAAAAAACTAGGACAGGCATTCTTTGCATCGGCACAGGAGAAAAAAAGAGGCTTAGTGACATATGTAGACAAGAATATAACAGCTGAATTAGTCTTTAAAGATGAAGAGGGAAGATTCTTAGGGGTTATTATCTGGCTACAAAATAAAAAAATACTCATCTGTAATATATATGCGCCGAACAATTCTAAGACAAAATTTGTAGAAAGGTTGAAGAAAAATATAGAAGATCAAGAATTTGAACAGATGATAATGTTAGGAGATTTTAATGGTGTATTAAACAGAGAAATTGATATAAGTGGGACAAAGAAAATAGGAGAAAAGAAGGGGGAGGCAAAGGGAGATTTACCAAAATCAATGACGAAATTGATGCAGGAGCTATGCCTAGTAGATATTTGGAGAATTAGAAACGAAAAGAAAAAGGATTACACATATTACTCAGCAAGACATCACAAATGGTCAAGAATAGATATGATGTGGATAACATCATCTCTACAAATAAATGTCTCTAAGGTGTTAATCTTGCCCAGGATAAATTCAGACCACTGTGCACTGGAATTGGAAATAAAAACAATGGAGAAAACAAGAAGATGGCGATTGGATGAAAATCTATTAAAAAAGGAAGAAGATATAGAAAGAAATAGGAAACTACTAAAGGAGTATTTTGAGATAAATGATGGTCCAGAGATACAAATATTTACACTATGGGAGGCAAGCAAGGCCGTTATGCGAGGAAATTTTATACAACAAAAGAGTAGAAAGAACAAGGAAAAAAGAGAAAAAATGAAGGAGATACTTGAAGGAATTGAAGAGGAGGAAGGAAAGCTGAAAGTAAACCCGCAAAACAAAAAAGCAAAACAAAGATTAGAACTTCTACACAAGCAGAGAGAACTGTTGGAAACGGAAGAAAGGGAAAAAGAGTTAAAATATATTAAGCAGAATTATTTTATGAACGCGAATAAACCTGGAAGATGGTTAGCAAATAAAATAAGGAATAGAAGAGAGGCAACATATATCACAAAATTGAAGGACAAAGAAAACATCATAACGAAGGAAGAAGAGATTCGGAAACAATTCTATGAATTTTATAAGAAATTATATCAAGATGAGAACATAGAAGAAGAGGAGATTTATCAATACTTAGCCAATCATAAGATTCAAAGAATTTTGGAAGGACAAAGAGAACACCTGAATAAAGAAATATCAGAGAAAGAAATCAAAGAAGCAATAAACAAATTAAAACCAAACAAAGCCCCGGGCCCGGATGGGATGTCAGCAATATATTATAAGACTTTTCAACAAGAGCTGGTACCATACCTAAAGGAAATGATGAATAGGATAAGAATTTATAAGGAAACCCCAGAGTCATGGAAACAAGCAAATATCTGCCTGATACACAAAGAGAATTCGGATAAGGAACAGGTTAGAAATTACAGACCAATCTCTTTATTGAACGTAGATTACAAAATTTTCAGTTTAATAATGGCGGAAAGATTAAAACAACTATTGGATAAACATATAAAAGAAGATCAGGCCGGCTTCTTGCCTAATAGATATCAAAGTGAAAATGTGAGGATGATTGTGGACCTAATCGAACATTATGAAAATAAACATCAAAATAAAGTAATGCTTTTAGCCTTGGACGCGGAGAAAGCGTTTGATAATGTAAATTGGAAGTTTTTCAAAATTATAATGAGAGAGATGGACTTAGGATTTTATTTCCAAAATGCAATTGAGGCGATCTACGAAAAACAGGAGGCAAAAGTACTGGTAAATGGAAAAGAGACGGAAAAGATAGAGATAAGAAAGGGAACAAGGCAGGGGTGCCCCCTCTCGCCATTAATTTTCATCCTCACCTTAGAGATATTATTAAATAAAATAAGAGAGGAAAAAAATTGGCAGGTGCAAAGATACAAGGACAGGAATATAAAATTCGGGCATACGCAGACGATGTGATCTGTATAATTGAGGATCCGAAGAACAACTTAGAGGAATGGATAAAGACAATAAAAGAATTCGACAAAGTCTCAGGCTTTAAAATTAATATGGAAAAAACTAAGGCAATAACCAAAAACATAGAGAAAAAAGAACAAGAAGAAATAAAAAACAAATGGAATATACAGATAGTTAAAAAGTTGAAGTACTTGGGAATAATATTAACATCTAAGAATTTACAGTTATTACAAAATAATTATATAGAGAAATGGAAAGAGATAAGGAAAGATCTGGAAAGATGGAAAAGCATAAACTTATCATTGCTGGGACGAATTGCAATAGTAAAAATGAATATCTTGCCAAAACTCCTATTTTTATTTCAAAATTTACCAATTATTCGGAATAAAAAAATCTTAAAGGATTGGAATAAGGATATCAAAAAATTTATTTGGAGAAACAAAAAACCGAGGATTAGCTTTGACAATATGACAGAAAGAAAGGAAAAAGGAGGTCTAGCAGCCCCGGACTTCGAGCTATATTTAGAAACGATTGCACTACTCTGGGCTAAAGACTGGGCAAAATTAGAAAAGAAAAATTGTTAATATTGGAAGGAGCAGACTTAAGAGAAGGCTGGCATACTTATGTATGGTATAAAGGGGGAAAAATGAGAAGAATTTTGGAAACCATTTCATAAGATCAACGGTGCTGAACACATGGGAAAAGTATAAGGACAAATTGTATAACACAACCCCTATGTGGGTATCCCCTCTAGAAGCAGGACAGAGACGATGCACAGGTTGGCGTGAATGGATAAAATACAAAGACCTACTAAAAGTAGAGGGAGGGAACATAATCTTGAAATCACAAGAAGAATTGAACACAGTGGATCAAAAAATCTCATGGCTGGAGTACTGGACCATAAAAGAAAAGTATAAAAATGACAAAAAGATTGGCTTCAACCAAGAAAAAAACTTCTGGGATAATATAATGGAGTCAAGAAAGAAACTAATAACAAAAGTATATAAAAATTGCTAGAGTGGAAATTAGAAACTAAAGAAGACAAAAACTACAAAAAGAGATGGAATGAAAATATTAGAAGAAATATCAAACAAGAAGAATGGGAAAAAATTTGGAAGGAAAAGCTAAAATATTGTCAAGCCATTGAATTGAAAGAGAACTGGTTAAAAGTAGCCCACCGTTGGTACATGACACCGAAGAAATTAGGGATGGGCAAGAGAAATCTTAGTACGGACTGCTGGAAATGCAAGGAAGAAGAGGGGTCATATTTTCATCTTTGGTGGACGTGCAAAAAGGCAAGAGAATATTGGAGGGAGGTACAAAAAGATTTACATGAAATATTAAAAATTAAAATACCATGGAAGGCGGAATTCTTTTTATTAGGGATGCATGATTTAAAGATAGAATAAAATACAGATAAAATTATCTTTCTGATCACAACGGCAGCAAGGATCTGTTACGCTAGAAGATGGAAACAGAAGGAAATTCCAGATGAAAATGAAAGACTAACAAAGATTCTAGAAATCCAAAATATGGACAGACTTACCTTTTTAATAGCAAGAAGTAAAGGGATGTACATGAAAGAAACAAATTGGAAAGAAGTGATGGTCTACTTCAAACAAAAAAACAAGAAGATTCTAATCTAATCGAAGAACAGAATGAATCAAGGAAGAAAAAGAGAAAGAAGTTGAGGAGAAATAAGAAAGAAAAGGAAGAGAAGAAAGAAGAAGGAGAAGACCTCATGATGACTCCAGGAAGTCGAAAACAGTTACTACTCTGATTTTTAACCAGGCTCGGGGCTTTTCTATACTCTTATTCTTACTCTTTTTTTTTTTCTTTTCTTCCTCTCCTTCTCTATCTTTATATGTGCTTTTCTCTATTTTACATTCTTTACTCTATATATCTAATAAACACAATTCTTCTTTCGGGATTTTCTGTTTCATATCATATTGCACATATTCTCCTATTCTTAGCTTGTATTTTAATTGTAATTTTGAAACTCAATAAAGATTTAAACAAAAAAAAAAAAAACAAGCCCCTTGGTCTCCCTACGGATGTCCCAGTCCTCAAACACTCTCTGCTTCATTCGGAAAAATGCTGCACTCACAGAGCTCAGGCGGTGTTGAATTTCAGTGTCAGTGTTGACTTTGGTGGAGGGGTATCTCCCAGCGGAGGTTCACAAATTCGATTGCAGTTTTTTTGCATTATCTTCTTGTAGAATTAAAGTTAATTTGTCATTTCAGTCATTTAAAAGAAATAGTAATCTTTTCCTCTGGTGTTGGTGTTCTTTGTTTTTTCGGTAGTTTGGCATATTCAATTCTTGCTGCTGTAGTCACGTACAGGAAGATTTTCCGGTATTTATATTTATTGTGTCAGGAGCAGAACAAACAGTAGTATTGCATTTTTTAACAAATCCGGTGATTTCGGGTGTGCTTGTATAAAATTCACAATAAAACGGGTTCTGGTGTCAGTATTATTTGGGACTTTTAAATTTTGTTTTCAATATTGGTGTGCATGTTTATCTAGAAGGGTTTAGCCTTTGGGCAAGTTCACCACATATGATAAAAGGGTCCAGTCATTTATTTACATCTCCAGCATAAATTCAATTATTTAATTTATCTTTGAGGGTTTTTCTGGAGTTATGTAGCATCTGAGGATCATTTTGTAAAAAAAAAAAGTAACTTCTTGTAAATTGGAATCTATTCTTCCAAAGTTCCTCCCATTCTTCTACACTTTTTATTTCCTATATTTATACCCCCGCCCTTCTCACTTATCTATTTGAGCCCAATATTTCTGGGCTTTTCTGCAAGATTACCACAAGAGATAAAATTCCAAATGTTATACTGTCATTTACATTTGTTAGAGCTGCTTTTGTACATCTTAGAGAGTCTCCCTTAGCATCCATTTACTAGAATGTGAGTTTCATGTGGCTGCAGATGAACCCTCCGAGGGATGCCACACTCAAGGCATCCCAGTGTGCATTCTATCATGTTTTTGAAGATTTCCACTTACACAGAAGCTCTTTCCACACTCCAGGCATTGATAGGGTTTCTCCCCAGTATGTGTTTGTTGGTGTTTACGTAGGTCTCCATTGCCAGTGAAGTTCTTTCCACACTCCAGGCATTGATAGGGTTTCTCCCCAGTGTGAACCCTTCCATGTCGCTGCAGCTGATGTCTCAAAGTGAAACTCATTCCACACTCCAGGCATTCATAGGGTTTCTCCCCAGTGTGAGTTTTTTGATGTGAATGTAGATGTACACTCTGGGTGAAGTTCTTTCCACATTCCAGACATTTATAGGGTTTCTCCCCAGTGTGAGTTCGATGGTGGTTATGTAGCTTTCCACTCTCACTGAAGCTCTTTCCACATTCCAGGCATTTATAGGGTTTCTCCCCAGTGTGAATCCTTTCATGTCGCTGCAGAGAACACTCCCAACTGAAACATTTTCCACACTCCAGGCACTTATAGGATTTCCACCCAGTGTGAGTCCTTTGATGTGAATGTAGATTTCCACTCTTGGTGAAGTTCTTACCACATTCCAGACATTTATAGGGTTTCTCCCCAGTGTGGGTTCTGTGGTGAGACTGGAGACCCTCACGCTTAGCGAAGCTCTTTCCACACTCCAGGCATTTATAGGGTTTCTCCCCAGTGTGAGTTCGTTGGTGGTTATGTAGACTTCCACTATCAGTGAAGCTCTTTCCACATTCCAGGCATTTATAGGGTTTCTCACCAGTGTGAATCCTTTCATYTCGCTGCAGACTATTCCTCCAAGTGAAACTCTTTCCACACTCCAGGCATTCATAGGGTTTCTCTCCAGTGTGAGTTCGTTGATGTGAACTTAGTTCTCCACTGCCAATGAAGCTCTTTCCACACTCKAGGCATTTATACGGTTTCTCCCCAGTGTGAGTCCTTTCATGTTGCTGCAGGTGTTCCCTCCGAGTGAAGCTCCGGCCACATTCCAGGCATGTATAGGGTTTCTCCCCAGTGTGAGTCCATCGATGTGACTGCAAACTTCGATGGTGTTTGAAGCTCTTTCCACACTCTAGGCATGTATAGGGTTTCTCCCCAGTGTGAGTCCTTCGATGTGACTGCAGACTTCGACTGTGTTTGAAGCTCTTTCCACACTCTAGACATGTATAGGGTTTCTCCCCAGTGTGAGTCCTTCGATGTGGCTGCAGACTTTGATTGTGTTTGAAGCTCTTTCCACACTCTAGGCATTTATAGGGTTTCTCCCCAGTGTGAGTCCTTCGATGTGACTGCAGATTTCGATTGTGGCTGAAGCTCTTTCCACACTCCAGGCATTCATAGGGTTTCTCTCCAGTGTGAGTTCGTTGATGTGAACTTAGTTCTCCACTCTGAGTGAAGCTCTTTCCACACTCCAGGCATTTATAAGGTTTCTCCCCAGTGTGAGTCCTTTGATGTGACTGCAGGTGGTTCCTCCAAGTGAAGCTCCGGCCACATTCCAGGCATATATAGGGTTTCTCCCCAGTGTGAGTCCATTGATGTGACTGCAGACTTTGATGGTTTTTGAAGCTCTTTCCACACTCCAGGCATTTATAGGGTTCCTCCTGCATGTTGACAGTGGTATGTATTTTTAACTGCAATATGGACACTTCTGTCTTCTTTTTCCCTTTATTTTTCCCCAAAGTCAGATCAGTAAGATCAGCACCTGGAGAGGATGTCTTTTTCATACAGGACCCTTTTCCTTACAGCTTCTTTGGTTTTCAAATTCCACAATGTCCACTAGATGCTGCTTTGATTGTCATCGCGCCAGAGATATCGCCATGGAATCCTTATGTTCCTGGTCAAGAAAGAAACAGCGAAAGGTTACACATGAAACTGAAAAACTCCCGTTCCCTCCTTTTTCTTCATAAAAGTTTGCTGCTACCAAATTTCCTGGTCTTCCCAAATCAATCCTCCACTCAGCCAGGAATCTGCCTCCGATTTCGATACTTCAGATCCAGATTTAAACATATGGAGGTATTCACAACATTCGTCTTGGCTGAAGCAAATCCTTCTCTGCCTTTCCCTCCCTCCGTTGTGCCCAGGATGGGAGGCCAAGGCAGGAAAGCCTCCTTCCTTCCTTCCTTCCTTCCTTCATACCAGCTTTTCCTACTCAGCCCTGTCATCCCTCTTCTCCTTTGCTTCTGTCCAGGGGAAATTTTCCAATAGCTCAAGGATCGAAAACAAGGGTCCTCAAACTAAGACACCAAATGAAAAGACCCGCTCCTTCCTCTGATTGACTGAAAAGTGGTCAAGTTAGGATCTGGGCTGTCGTTGGCTGGGGACWCCCTGTGACATCAGAGATGGATGGAGACACCCTCATGGCYGGGAAAATGAATAGCCGTCCTTTGTCCATTTGAAGCCGGAGTCGTTTTGAGCGTCCTCCCAGGCAGAGCTTCCTCACARSGTTTAAGGAAATGCAGAGCTTACCYAAAAGGAGTCAGCCTCTAAGACAGGGGTCCTCTCACTAAGGCCCGGGGGCCAGATACGGCCCTCCAAGGTCATTTACCCAGCCCTCGCTCAGGATCAACCAAAGTCTGAAARGACTTGAAAGAATACAACAACAATCCTATTTCATCAGTCAAAAGCAGGCCCACACTTCCCATTGATACGGCCCTCCAAGGTCATTTACCCGGCCCCCACTCAGGATCAAGCACACAACAACAACAACAACAACAACAASAYCAACYGCAACAATCCTATCTCATCAGCCAATAAGTTTATATTTGTTAAAATAGTGCTTTTTGCACTACAAATAAAATATGTGCTGTGTGCTTAGGAATCCATTCATGTTTTTTCAAATTATAATCCGGCCCTCCAACAGTTTGAGGGACTGTGACCTGGCCCTCTGTTTTAAAAAGTTTGAGGACCCCTGCTCTAAGATCATAAAGGAGCTGATGCAAATACAGCCAATTCCATGGAAAACATACAGAACAATAAAGATTTCATCAAGGTGGCCAATTGAAACATTCACACCTCCCTCCAACAGACAAGAGTTCTTTCTCCCACCCTGGACATCATTCCACAGACATATAAACCCCGTTTTACTAGTTCACAACAGACCTCACAACCTCTGAGGATGCCTGCCATAGATGCAGGCAAAACGTCAGGAGAGAATGCTTCCGGAACATGGCCATACAGCCCGAAAGACTTACAGCAGCCCATCAAGGCCTTGTTTGTGCCTGCTTCCTCCCCCCACCTGGACCCCCTCCGGAAATGGGAGATCCTTTGTATTTCCAAATAAGGCCTTTCCTGCTTTCTCTATTTAGCTGGGTGAGTTCCCCTCTTAGCAGGACACAGAAAGAGTTTCACAAGCACCAACTGGTTCTATTTTTAAGATTTTCCTGGATGTTTATTTCAGCAGAACTTAGTACGTTTTAATATGAAACATATATGGAATTGTTAGAAGGAATCACAAAGAGAACAAGATTAGAGATCGAATCTAATCTGGACAAGACATACAGAGTTCAAACTCAATTCTCAAAAAAATATAAAACACCAAGGGACATAATCGTCTGCTGCATGAAGAAAACCTTGAGAAATGAGATATTAAGAGAAAATACAACACAACCGGTCTTCTACAAAGGAACCAAGATAGCTATACTAAAGGAAATCCCTCTTACCACATTGGAAAGAAGACAAAAATACCATTTTCTTACGGATGAGCTTTAAAAAAGACACGTAAAGTTCAAATGGGAGAAGAAAGAGGGCATCATGGTGACTTGGATGGACAACAAATACTGGCTTACATCAGAGGCGAAAGCGAAGGCCTTTTGGCACAAATACATAAAAGAAGAGGACAAAGGAGGAGACGACATGCAAAGAAAAGAAAAAAAAGGAACGCGCAAAATATCGAAGAAAGAGACAGAAGAAGAAGACATGCCAGGAACGTATGGAGCATTTCAAAACGAGGATCAGGAAAACAGAAGGAAAAGAGCAAGAGAAAAATCCCCCAACGAATCCTCTTTCCAACCGAAAGGGGCCGAGGGAAAAACGGACTGGGTTTTAGAGAATAAAAATAAAGATGGATTGGAAGATTAAGATTTATTGTAATAATGTTAATGGTTTAAATAGCCCTAATAAAAGGAAAAAACTCTGTCATCACTTTAAAAAAGGCGATTATGATTTGATTTTGTTACAGGAAACGCATATCTCTCAAAAGTATACAGCACACCTAAAGCAAAAGGCTCTAGGGAAAGTGTTCTATGCATCAGGTCCCAAAAAAAAAACGGTCTAGCAATATATGCTAAAGAAAAAATTAAAACAGATCTATCCTTTAAGGACCAAGAGGGAAGAGCACTGGGGATCAAATTAGAACTAGAAGGCAAGGTTGTACTGATATGTAATATTTATGCCCCGAACGGAACAAAGGATAAATTTGTGAATAAACTAAAAAACTTTATAGAAGACCAAGATTACGATGATTTGATCATTATGGGAGATTTTAACGGAGTATTAGACCCAGTTAAGGACAAATCCCTAGCAGACAAAAAAGCAAATTCAAAATCCCTAAGGCCCCTACCTAAAAAGTTTAAGAAACTAAACGAAGATCTAGGTCTATATGACATCTGGAGACACCAACACGAGAAGGAAAGGGACTACACCTTCTTTTCAAATAGGCACAGAACATGGTCCCGAATTGACATGATCTGGGGGACAAAAATGATCATGACAAACATAACCAAAACCTCAATACTACCAATGACCCATTCTGACCACTCGCCTCTTGAAATAATATGTGACAAACAGGGGAATAGAAAGTCTTATACCTGGAGTCTGAAGAACAAACTGCTAACAGACCCTAAACAACAAGAGACAAATAGACTACTCATAGAGGAATACTTTGAACTAAACTCGGATAAAGGAGTTCCCGCAAAGACGGTATGGGACGCAGGAAAGGCCTACATGCGTGGCCATTTTATCGAACAAGGGGCACGACTCAACAAATCAAAAAGAGAAAAACATAACAAACTGTTGGAAGAGACAGGGAAATGTGAAGCAAAAGCCAAGGAAAACCCGAAGGATAAAAAAATAGCTAGGCAACTGGAACTTCTAAAAAAACAAATGGACATACTACAAACAGAAGAATTGGGGGAAAAAACTGAAATATGTAAGGCAATACTATTTCGAGAATGCCAACAAAATAGGGAAATGGCTATCGAGAAAAATCGCCAAAAGAAGACAAACCAGACACATAACAAAAATAGAATCTCAAGGTAAGTGTTACTATCAAACCAAAGAAACTATCGAACAATTTTCAGGATTCTACAAAGACTTATATAAAGAGGACAATATACCAGGAGAAAAAATAATGAAATTTCTAGGATCACAAGAGATTCCAAAAATAACAGAAGGTCAAAGAGAGTGCCTGAATAAGAAAATCAAGCAAGAAGAAATAAAGAAAGCCATACAGAAAATGCCAGCAAACAAAGCCCCAGGACCTGACGGCCTTACATCAAAATACTACAAGATATTCCAAGATATCCTTACACCACAACTACAAAAAGTTATGAATAAAATAATGGGCGAAAAAGAAATACCAGAATCCTGGAAGGCAGCAACAATCACTCTTATACACAAAGAAAACTCAGACAGCACAATGGTCAAAAATTACAGATGCATATCATTACTCAACGTGGATTACAACATATTCACGAGCATACTACCCACCAGGCTGAAAGAATTACTAAGCACCAGAATAGACGAAGACCAAACGGGCTTTCTCCCAAAGCGCCAAATAAAGGATAATATAAGAATGGTCCTAAACGTAATTGACTACTATGAAAAAAATAACCAGAAAGAAATAGCCCTTATGTTTTTGGACGCTGAAAAAGTGTTTGACAACGTTAACTGGAAATACATCAACGCTGTCCTAAAGGAAATGGACATAGGTTATTACTTTCTGAGTGCAACTGAGTCAATTTACACAGATCAAAATGCGAAACTCTCAATAAACAATCAGCTATCCACAGAAATCCCAATAAGACAAGGCACCAGACAAGGTTGCCCACTGTCCCCCCTCCTGTTTATACTCGCACTGGAGACTCTCCTCGCCAACATTAGGAAAAACACGGAGTTGAGAGGTCTAAGAGTTAGGAACCACACCTTTAAATTACGTGCGTTTGCAGACGAGATAGTATGTTTTATAGACGACCCAAGAAACACCATAAATAGTTGGATACAGGAAATCGAAACATATGGGGAGGTGGCCGGACTAAAGATCAACAAGGATAAGACGCAGATCATGACCAAAAACATAGGAAGAGAAAAAAGAGAGGAGATTCAGGAAAGAACAGGAATTAAAGTTGTTCCAAAAGTAAAATATTTAGGAATAACAATTACTCCTAGTAACTCACACTTAACAAGAAACAACTATGACAAAAAAAATGGGCAGAAACAAAGAATAAATTAAAAAAACATCTAAATCTCTCCCTTATGGGAAGAGTGGCAACTATCAAAATGAAGATATTACCAGATCTTTTATTCATCTTCCAAGCACTCTCAATTCTAAGGTCAAGTAAAATGATCCCAAAATGGCCAAAAGAGATACTCAGATTCATATGGAAAGGGGAAAAACACAGGATAAGTGCAAAAAAGCTAATCAACGACAAAAAAAGAGGAGGCCTAGCTCTACCAGAGCTACAGCTATATTATGAAGCGGCGGCCCTGAGTTGGACAAGAGACAGGGTAACACTAAAGAAGAGAAAAATCCTGGCCCTAGAAGGCTTCGATGTCACTCAAGGCTGGCACTCCTATCTCTGGAGGGGGAAGGACAAGAAAGAAAGAAATTTCAAAAAT